AGATTCGTGTCATCTCTATTTTGTCTATCTTATTTGACATACATGTTTCTATTATGCTTTCAATTATTTATTCTAGCACTTAATCCCATTGCAAGATTTCCTTTTCGCAGACCATGACTAAGAATAACAATTCTTCCACTTGAGCCACACCTGAGGCTCATGACCAGATATGTCGCTTAGAGGAGCACCTCCAGAGTTTAAAGGATATGTTGGTTGCTCTTAGAGCTGACATTAGTACCCTTCTTCTGAATGTGATGGCTGCCATTCAAGCTGACATTTCTCACCTCCGTACGGAGATCTTGACTGCCATTGATGACTTAGCCAGGGAGATCCGTGGAGCTCCCTCTGCCTGAGACTTCCAGTCTCTTTATCTTTTTATGCTCTCTATCTATGTTCTGTATCTGCTACACTTGTGATACTATTATTTTTGCAGCCAGGTCTGTCGGCTTTGACAATCGATGTATTACACTTTATTGTTGTTTTTATCTATGATGGATGTTGTATGTTTTTATTGATACATCTGCCCTTTTAACTCCATCAGGTGCATTACAGTGACTTCAGTGAAAGAGTGTTACCCATTTTCCAGGACCACCCTTATACCTCTCTCATTTCATTATCTGTTTATCCCATTTACACTTGCATGTTCACTGTGCACATGATTATCCCATTTTGTTATCTGATAAGTTTATCCAAGTGTCAATTTTCAGGACCACAGTTCATCCCAAGTTTGGGGGGGCAATGCCACCCACTTCAGATACTTCAGTCCTAATCATTCTTGTTCAGTTGCACTGTTATACTCTTTCTTTTGTTCTCATTGCACATTGAGGACATTGTGCAATTTAAGTTTGGGGGGAATGGTGCTCTACAGTGATAGTTTTAAATTCAAACTTTTAGCATGACTCGTGTATTTGAGTGATATTTCTATGATTGGTCCATACCTAGCTATGATTTTGATCTTTTGAGGACTATATTACTTAAAATTTAAAAATTGCTTGACTTGGGAGTCCAGTACTCCTTGTATGCCTTATGAATGCCATTTAGGAGTAAATTTTTTGAAAGATTGATATCTTGCTTGCACTTGTGGTCTACATCATCCTGATTTTGTGATTGTTTTGAGATTCATTCTAGGATTCTACACTCGCACAGGCGCACACTAGCATTCATTTGTGGGGTACATGCTTTGTTGATTATTGAATTGGTTATATCCCAATTGGGCTAGTAGTGCATTGAAAGCTTTCATTCTTGATAAAAGTGAATAACAACCCCTTTTCACTAAGTAACCGAGATTTTAGCCTCATCAAGCACTGAACTTCTCGCGCCGAAAGGTGGAGGGCCCAAACTCTAGGTTAATAATTGATCATTTAAAAAAAAAAAAAAAAAAAAAAAAGCAACAAAAGTGAGGACTTCTCTCAAAAATTGAGAAGTGGGAAATGATTAGATGGTTGTTGTCTTAATTTGTAACCTAGTTGATTTGAGCTTGTAACTCCGTAGGGGTGTTTGAACACCTAGTACCGTAAAGCCGTCTAGTTTGGGAGTCATTAACCTAACGCTCGACCTCATGAATCGCTAGAAAGCTTAATAGATCAATACATTGCACTATGCTTCCATCTTTGATCCTCTAAAAAAAAAAAAAAATTTGAGTGAAAAGAATAAGCACACCTAGAACAATAAAGCTTTAATAAAAGGTCCACTTTTTTTGTCTTGATGATCGGTACTAGATTTGTGTGCTAGTTTGAGGGTGAGGATGTGATTAATTCTTTAGTTGGCTAAGATAACAACACATTGATGCCGGTCCACTCAAAAGAATTCTAGAGTTGTTTTAATTTGCATGATCATTTTCTTGATATGTGGAGGACCATACTTGCTTGCTTGATGTTGAGATTTTGGAAGATTGCTTGGAAAGGGTTGAAAAATTGCATACTTGAGGTAGTTTTCTCCCAATGCTTGTTTGCAATATTGGTACCTCTTTTGAAAAAATGAGCTTAATGTTTGTGGGTACCATTTCTGGAAACCCTCACGAGACTTCACTCGTCCACTAAGGGTAACCTAGGAGTTTAAAAGGCTTGTTGCATATGCTAAATGCAATCGTGCTCCCTACGAAAGTGGCGTTATCTATTTATTGTTTTCTAGTTTATAGTTGTATAGTTGTTCATTTCATTCCTTTACTTTCTAGTTCATTGCAAGGGACTAGCAATATTTAAGTTTGGGGGTGTGATGAGTACTGAAAAGTGCGTATTTAAACCCCTTAAGCTTAGGCATTCTAGTACCTTTATCTATCTTACTTTACCATTTTAGATTGATTTCGTATTATTTCCATTTTCAAGCACTTATCCCAAAAATAAGTTAACTCAGCTAAATAAGAGCTTAATTGAATCAATTCTGAGATTAAATAAAGAAATGTGCAAAGTGGAGAAAGAAAGAACCAAAATGAAGCAAAGTAGCAAGTTCGATTAATCCAAGTCCAAGGTTCGATCGATCGAACATTGATCGATCTCAACACTTCAAGATAGATCCAAGCCTTGACCCAAAGCACTTAAGTCCAAAAGTTCGATCGATCCAACATTATTCTTCGATCGATCGAACACCTTTGTCCTTATCCAAATGATTGATCCTACCCACAGCTGTACCACCCACTAACCACTTTTGTCCTTTTCCCATAAATATCTCGGATTTGTCTCTTTCCAAAAAGCTCAGCCAGTTGGATCGATCCAGCCTAAGTTCGATCGATCTCACTTACTTTCAACTGATCGAACTTTCTCTAGTGCGAAAAAGTTAAAATTCCAACTCATTGAAAGTTGTCCTTTTATCCAATCATTAGGGAATATTGTGTGCACGACCCCAGCTCACTTTGGGTGTCATTTTGACCTACCTATATAAGGATAAGGATTGTTTTTTGAAGGGGAGCCAACATTATATTTTTCATATCATCTCTTGGAGAGGAAGTTTAGAGGAAGAGGAGGCTAGAGACACCATTGGAGATCTTCATCAATAAGGGGCAAACCTCTTCCATGGAGTTAGCCCTTGAGGGTTGGAGCATCATCACCATGAGTGGCTAGACATCCTCTTGGGGCTAGAGTTAGCCCCAAGCATGCTTTCTATATCTTAATCTTGTGTATTATTGAGGGATTAGTGTTGTAATTAATATTTTAACACTTTGATATATATAGATCTTGTTTAATCAATGATTTATGTGGTTTAATACTTCCAATTGATCATTTCATTCTATCCATATGTCTATGTATGTTAGAATAGATGTTCATGTGCTTATTTCTAGATTTTGTGTTGTTGATGCATGTCTATGTGTATTGATGCCATAAATTTAGAGGTTGTCAAAACATGGTGCTTAAAGGAATGTTCTTGTGAATCTCTAGATGGTTCATGCTCATATCTTGATGGATTGTGTCTCCTTCTTAGCTAAATTAGTTTAATTTCAATGGCTAATTGTAGTTTAGTGATAGTATAATATTAGATGGGAAGACAATCTATGCTAGTTGTTTGATACTCCATACTTTTGAATGCAAGTAGCATATGTCTCTAATCTTGTGTTGTATTTAGATTGTGAGCCTAATGAAAAGGATCAATGATTTGCTAGATATATTGTACTTTTCACATACTATTTAGACAATATATACTTAATTGCTAGATATATTGTGCTTTTCACATGTTGGTTAGACAATGTATGCTTAATTAGTCATCCTTGCTTGTTGAATCAACTAAATACACACACACACACACACCAATATTGCAACACCCTAATTGCCCTCATTAATCATTTGTCAATAATATAGAAATGCATTACTTGGTGGTGATCTCTAAACCCCAAGACTCTTCTTTCTCTCTTACTTACTCTCCATTGTACTCAATTACGTAGTCTAATTTAGTTGCTCTCTAATCTAATCAACCAACCAATCAATTGTTTGATCACTTGACCTACTAACCCTAACAGCGATTCCACAATCATCTCCGACTCCAATCCCTTGGGACAATCCCTAGTCGCCCTAACTATATTTATAGTGAAAGGTATTAGTGACTTTTACAAATGTAAAACTTGGCCCTCGCCTAAATTGCACGCTTCTCCAAGCTTGTGGTCACCGCGACCTACAATATAAGGACCAACAATATATATATATATATATATATATATATATATATATATATATATTAATACTCCTTTTAAAATTGTATTACAGGTAACCCAAAAATCCAAAAAAAAAAAAAAATCATAATGTTATATATACAATAATGTGGTGTTCTCATCCACATGTTAATAAATCTCTTAATATACATACTAATAATATCATACTCTTTATTTAATAACAAAGAGTAAATAATTTACAATATACTATATATCATTGTTATATTTATTATTTATATATTACTAAATTTATATATATTAATTATTTATCATTATATTCATTTGGTTGCATAATTATATTATATAGCATTCTATATATTAATAATTCTCCGCTTCATCTAACTTTATAATTATATATGTTAGTAAATATAATTTTAATCTGAATTCGAATCCAATTTGATCCGAGTCCGAGCTAAATAGGATATGGATTGGGACATTCAGTCCGAGAATTTGTTAGTGATTCGAATCCGATAATACATTTACTTAACAAATTGAATATAAATTTGATCGATCTGATCTGAATTCGATCTATTGACAGGCCTATCCAAACACTTACGTTTCCAAATATGGCCGATTGGATGTGGAATATGAAGAATTCTCTTATGGGCTTTCTAGGACATGGTGGGTCAGATGTTGGCCATAGTTTGGATAAGTTCATCAACAATCGTCGTTGGTTTTATGTTGGCCATGAAACCACCTTTGGAATATGAAGAATTCTCTTATGTTTTGTTTGTCTTGTCATCCTTGCGTCCTCGGGATGATGTGCTGTCAAACTGCAATGAATGCGCTTCCCTAGTTGCGTGTTGACCACGCCGATTTGGGCCCAAATGATTATTCTAGCAGCTGCAAGAGGGCCCCATATCACATGGGCCAGATGAGCCTTTGTAGTTGTGTCTCTAGCAGTATTGCTGTTAATGAGTCTGGCCCAAAGGTGGTTTCTATGCTTCTTTTAAACCAGCTTGTTCCTGCAACAAATAGCCCAAGCATGGTGGATGATATAGTAACTTGTGGCTTTGCTTTCGAGCATTACTTTCAGTTTCAATGCGGTCCTAGGTTGTATCCCTGTGCATGTGTGTTCCTGTGTTCAGGAAGTTTGTAAGCATAGTTTTATGTAGTGTTCTCTTGTTTGCCAGGGAAAAAAAAAAAGGAATTACAAGGTCAAAGTGAGTCCACGGACCTCCAATTCCACTGCAACACATCACCAAATCATTTTTAGAGATTCTGAGCCAATAGATGTTCAACCTCGATCATCACTAATAGCCAATAAACAAATAAGTATGTGCTGCAAGTAGTGAAGCGAAAGAAGTTTATTCTATAACATCAAATTAATTTGAAACAGGCTGTACCATGTTTTTAAGTAATTTGAACGATCATTGCCTTGAGAGATCGAGGTTGAATAGAATTGCCTTGAAACTGCAACAAATATACTAATATTTGTTTTTGTTTTTTAGTTTTGGCTGATGGCATAATGAAATAAAATAAACGTTTGGTTGTTTTGTGTGCGTGCGCATACATAGACGTATATTATATACTATGTATTAACAAGAAAACTATTGGAATTTTCACCACTCTTTGGAAGTCTCAACAAGTTATCTGTAGTCTCTCTTCTAAGTCATATCATATGGGCACCTTCGTGATTATATATATATATATATATATATATATATATGTTGTGGTGTCGATGGATGAAGCAACCCTGTCCCCGGCCTCCTCATCATTTACATGGTCTGCTCATCCCAGACCCAGAATCACCATATTCATTCATATAAGCAAAAGAAGAAAGTAGCATAAAACAATATGCAAGCTACAGTCCAGATTGGCAATATTGTGTTGCTTCTCCAGCTGCTACTCAGCCTGTGCGACCCAGTACATGTCCTTGCACACAATGTGCACGCAAGTATCAAGAACAGATTGGGCAGCGGGAAAATCATGACCGTCCATTGCCAATCAAAAGATAATGACCTCGGCCAGCAGACTGTGGGTGATGGAAGTGAATTTGGGTGGGACTTCTCTCCAAATGTATGGGGAACTACTCTGTTCTACTGTAATATGGAATGGGAAAATGTACGAGAATATCAATTTGATGCGTATTCCTTTACCAGGGATTATGTTCGATGTGAGACTGAGTGTTCATGGTTGATTTCAATGGAAGGCATGTATGGTCTGAATGGAAAAACTGGCTTATGGGAATTCATCTATCATTGGCCAAACTGACCAAACTTCACTGAATTCCACTCTTCTTTAATTCTGCATACTTTTAATTCAAATAGCTATTGTAGATTGTCACTAAATCTATATATATCTACCTATTGTAGCAATTCAATCAGCTCATGCCCTTCTTGTAATAGCACCTAAAGATTGAAAGTAGTTATCTAGTACTGCTTTCTTCTGTCTAGGTTAAGCAAGTGTATAAATCATACACTACTTCACACACTCCCAACAAATTTCACGTTGCTCGATCGTGTGAACAACCATTTTCTATGAGATAACATGTCCAAAATATACCATCATACAAACAATAACTTAGTAGCAGTTTTAACTTTTTAAGTATATATGTCTCTGTCATTTCCAAACTCTTGTCATTACAAAATACATAGAAGAATAAGAAAAGTGAAAGAACTGAAAGCCCATCCAAATCATATATTCAGAGTGAAAATTCATTAATCCACCTCTCCTTGCATCACAACAACTACTCACGAAAGAAATAAGTGACCACCAACTTAGAAACAACAATCGTTATACCGTTAACTGATTCTCATTAATCCATCTCGGCCAGCAGAAGTAGGTGTCTCTTTCTTGGGCCACCTTGGTGGAATACTTGCGGGTATTCTCTATCTCCGGCTCAAGGCTTTATATTCAATCAGCTCATGCCCTTCTTGTAATAGCACCTAAAGATTGAAAGTAGTTATCTAGTACTGCTTTCTTCTGTCTAGGTTAAGCAAGTGTATAAATCATACACTACTTCACACACTCCCAACAAATTTCACGTTGCTCGATCGTGTGAACAACCATTTTCTATGAGATAACATGTCCAAAATATACCATCATACAAACAATAACTTAATAGCAGTTTTAACTTTTTAAGTATACATGTCTCTGTCATTTCCAAACTCTTGTCATTACAAAATACATAGAAGAATAAGAAAAGTGAAAGAACTGAAAGCCCATCCAAATCATATATTCAGAGTGAAAATTCATTAATCCACCTCTCCTTGCATCACAACAACTACTCACGAAAGAAGTAAGTGACCACCAACTTAGAAACAACAATCGTTAGAGGTTTTTCCAAACCCTGAACAGTTTACCTTATTATACAGAGAATTCCCACAGCAAAAAAATGACGCTTCAGTCCCTCTATAAATGCATCACATAAATTCCTCCACTAAAAATGAACTTTTCACTGAATTTTATATTACAGGTCGTTCAACACAGTACCCTTGGAGCCAGGGTGATGACCACATGTAGAGAGCCATGAATTTCCATCTTCAAGAGCTACTGAATCAAAAAGCTACATGATAAACTTCTACTCATTGAAATCCCTCGACATGGATACTTTAGCCCCCATATTACCTTGTTCTCATCTAAAAGATGCAAAGCTCAACTCAAATCCATTCATGGGAAGATGGGCACATCATGCACTGGGTGACCTTTTTTAGTTCTTTCAATTATCCTCCGTGAAAGAGAAACTTGCTTACCAACCACAAAAACAAATGCCTTTCCCTTTCCCCAGGCACCTCTGGCAGTTCTTCCAACATGGCGTTACATATTCACTTGGATCACGAGGAAAGTCAAACAGTACAACATGATCCACGCCTCTAAAATCAATTCCCCGGGATGCCCTGCAAAAGATATATATTCAGAAGCATCAAGTTGCTATTTTCATTTCTTGAGAGGAAAGGAAACTAATCAGACCAAACCTCAACAGCACACATAGCCCAGTACAATTAAAATTAAAAGTAGAAATGAAAATAATGAAAAGAAAAGGCAAAAGAACCATGATACCTATCAGTGCACACCAGAAACAAAGAGCTGTCCCTCAGCTTAGAACTGCGGAATTCCTCAATATTTGCAATCCATGATTCTTGTGCCACAGCAGCATGGAATGGTAAAATTCTCATATGAAGTCCTTTTCTATCAAACCTTTTCAATGCATTTTCAACATTTCTGCAAGTCTCAATCTGCCAATGGCATATGCCAAAGGGCCCAAAACTAAGAACAACAAATTTTATCATAAACATAGAAGAAATGATAAGATAGAATCTAGATATACTATGGTAAAACTGACCTTGTTACAGAAAACAATTGTTTTGGCGACTGCACTTTCCTACAGGAGCTGCAGAAGAGCGGACTTCTTGTTGAGAAATGCTGTATCAGTTCTTTCTGTCCCATCATCTCCACTGCAATCTACAAGAATCTGGACATGCAGCCTGATTATTAATTTCAACTACATTTTAGGTTCTTCTTTCAAAAGAAAAATCTTCAACAATTCAAAGAGTTTAAATATATCAGAGGTAGAAGTGCAGCAGTGGACTGCCTCAATCCACCCCACTTGAACACCCAACTCATTCGCAGCTCCAAATGTTTAATAGCAGTAGATTCTCTTTATCGCAAGCTAAAACTGAGAACAAGTGCTTTTGGAGCACCTGTAACAGAAAATGTTGGTAAGCAGAACTTGTGCAGTAGTGTGGGAGAAGTTCACACATTGACATATGGGGTCATGATGCCTTTGAACTGAGACATAGGTTTGGGAAGCCACTGGACTAGCCAAACGTTGGAAATGCTATTTGGGTTAAATAGAATTACCCATAATGTCAAGTAACTTAGTCATCTGACCATCTAAAGTGGGAGCAGCACAGTTTTGCCATGAAACCACAAAATGGTGAATAGGCAGAGGAAAACAAAGGACCACCAGAGCATAGTTTCTAGGTAGTCTGGGGATTAGAATATTTTCTCACACTTTTTGGTTCTACAAAAAAAACCTGCTTTTTTCAACTAAAAACATGTCCATGGAAATTGAAGTGGGAGTCCGTACATTCTCTTAGAACAATCTCTCTATGCATGAATCTGTACAAATTAGGAAAGTTGTATCCACTTTTTAAATCAGTGCAAGTACTTTCAACTAAGCACGGACACTTCTATCAGGTGTCGTGTCTGATACGGACAGTGACACTCCATAGACACTCCTAGACGCGTGTCCAACCTTTCATGGCTGTGTCCATTATTTAAAAATAAATTTTATTATTTGACACTTGGTCAACACATTCCGGACACTCAACCAACACATCCTACACTACTCATCTTATATAAAACAAACACACGACAGTCCTGAAAAACAACATTATGAAGATTCATCAAAGTGTTCAACCTTCTAACTCAACTTTAGCATAGAATTTATAAATTAATTAAAGTTCCATGATTGTCTCATCAATAGATATATAAATGAAAATCTATATTTATATTAGCCGTGTCCATGCTATGTCCGTGTCCTACTTTTTTTTTAGAATTTAACGTTTGGGCATATATCCGTTTTGTATCGTGTCTGTGTCCCATGTTCGTATCCGTGCTTCTTAGACTTTCAAAGACAAAAAGATACAAATGAGAACCCAAAGTTTTAAAGAGTTTATTAATGATTTTCTTATGCTGTCCTGTCTATTAACTACTTACAAGACCTGAAAATGATTTGACTCATGTGATTGTTTATGGCAGAGATATAGTGCAGCCCAACTCGATTAAAAGGTTTAGGGATGAAGATGCCAGCAACAACTGACGGATCATTGAAATATCTGACTGGTTCTAAATAAAGTACTCTTATTTGTCCACTCATAATGCTGAAACTGCCCATGAGTCATAGACTAAGTTAAAATAACTTTGTCAACATGGATCAACATCACAATACCAAGTTCAAATATTAGTAATTAAGCGTGAACCATCATCTTGCAGCAAGTTTAAAAGAAAATGATTTCATGAGACCTTAAAGAAGGCCTCTGAACAACCTGATAATCCGTGTTCTCAATGCAAAAAATCAGCACAAAAATCATGATAATCCATGTTCTCAATGCAAAAGCAGCACAAATTGCTAAAAAAAAATGACTTGACATCACAGCGAAAAAAAAAATGTCTAAAAAAAATGAGCTTGTACGGTGCACACCGGTCCCATGATTACTTCAAAGTCAGGAAAACCTTCAACTAGCTTGTTGTATATGTCTACAGGTAAAGTTGCAGTCACAGAGAGATATTGTGTGGTAACAGGCGAAGAGTTCATTAAACTTTGTAACGCTGGCTCAAATTCATCATCATTAAAGAGTATATCAACTTCATCCAAAATAGCACTGAAACACAAGGTTTAAATATGTTGAGAGAGAGAGAGAGAGAGAATATATGAAAACGTATATCTTATTGAGTGAGTAATAAAATAATATAATGGTGTTTATATAGGAGAAGCTACGGGAGTAGGTGAGTTGAGAACAAGTAAACCCTATACATGGAAATTCTATATATGGTAATGAGAGGTAGGTGACAACTCATACAATACAAACTGTACACGTGTGACAACTCATACAATAATGTACTACGTGACAACTCATACAATACTGTACAACACTCCCCCTCAAGCTGGAGAGTAAATGTCAATAACTCCCATTTTGCTACATATGGAACCAATAGAGTTCGTGGGAGCCTTAGTGAAGATGTCTGCCAGCTGTCTACCAGAAGGAACAAAAACGTGTAACAATCTCATTTGAGTCAACTTTAAATCGAATAAAATGGCAATCTACTTCAATGTGTTTAGTCCTCTCATGGTAGACTGGATTACTAGCAATATGAATAGCTGTCTGATTGTCACAATGGAGAGGAATTGGGTACTAGACTAAAATCCCAAGTTCCTGTAAAAGAGTTTTCAACCAAGTAAGTTCGCAGGCAATGTGTGCCATGGCACGATACTCTGCTTCAGCACTGGAACGAGTCACAATTGACAGTTTCTTACTCCTCCAAGTTACTAGATTTCCTCCTATGAAGGTGCAATAACCTGTGGTGGACCGTCAATCAGAAGAAGAACCGGCCCAATCTGCATCTGTACATCCCTCAATCCGAAGATGTCCAAAAGATCGATAAAGCAGACCACGTCCCGGAGCACCCTTGAGATACTTCAAGATGCGTACAACTGCCTCCATGTGAGGTACCCGAGGACTGGTCATGAATTGGTTCACAACACTGCC